TTACTTGGTAACCTGTTGATTACCTATAAATAGGTCTAATTGCACAAACTTAAAGAGTTTAAGTGTGTAATTGAACATTTTTAATGTTTGAGAGCCTTATTGATTTTTTTTTTATCAAAAGTTAAAGGGTCTATTTAACTATTTTTCTTTATTATTTTAATATTGTTGTTGTTGTAATTTCACTTTTAATTCTTATTATGATTTTCTTTTCTTTTGATATATATAGAGTTGGTAGATGTAATTTTCATTTTCTTTTGATACGTAACACTATCTTGTATTAAGTAATTATTAGTATTTGCCCCATGCGATGCACGGACAAAAATTTATAAGTATTGTTGTAGTGTTATGATACAAAGCAGAATTAGTTTTATTAAAAATGTAAGTATAGTTATACAATATAATATTTAAATGTTAAAGACAATAAATGTATTTATATTGCTAATCTCATTTGCAATAATGATCTTACAAAATTAAACGGACAGAGAAAGACCCGTACCACCTCGTGGTTTACACACACAAAAATAATAATAATAATAATAATAATAATAATAATAATAATAGTAATAATAATAATAATAATAATAATAATAATAATAATAATAATCTTACAAATCTATTAATATGCATTCACACTTAGACGAGAAAAATTTTCCCTACTTGATTTTTCTTTACCTAACTTTCTTTGTAAATTATTAAAAAATTAATCAAAATTACAAACTATTAAAAAGTTAGTGTGTGTGTGTGTGTGTGTGTGTATATATATATATATATATATATATATATATATATATATATATATATTAACTTAATAAAAAATAAAAATTTTAATATAACAAATGTTGGGCCAATATATAATTATATATATATTTTAAATTTCTGGGCCAAACCGATCCCATTGTTGCAGCCCATATTCTCAAAGTCCATTCACAATTTTGGAGGGAAAGCTAGTTTTGGAGGGAAAGCTAGGATTTTGCTTTATTATATATAAAGAAAAAATAAAGAAAAGATAAAGAAGATAAAGATTTTGAAGAAATTGGTTATTAGGAAAACGATATTTTTGGTTCATGAGTTGTTTCACATTTAAAAATTTTGTTCTTATAACTTGATTTAAACAAATTTAGTTCATTAATTATTCATAATGTTGTAATTTTAACTAGTCTCCAGTGTTAAATAATTATCAAACTCCATTAATGTATGATGTTATTCTTATCATTTATAATCAATATTCACTTTTAAGCATGATGCGTCCATATTGAAGAAGTGAAACTTCAACCATAAATATTGATTCTAAATACCAAAAACAATTAACAGGGCAAATGCCACCATAATTTAACTGACGTCGTCTCTTCTCCCAAATACTGTCAACTGAACCATTAAGCTAAACTTGTACGGGCAAACCATAATTTCTCTTGCAAGGGTAAGATGGGCAAATTATACCATGGACCAGGGTCTGCCTAGCATTGTAGACCTGGTTCAAAAATAACCTTCAGATTCTGTATCTATAATTGATGTGTCAACAATTATCAAGTCAGATTTTGTATCTATATTTGACACATTCTTTACCTGCAGTTGATAGTTTCTGTACATGTAAATCATATTATGTGTCAGCAATTATCAAGTTATTTGTTTACATGTACATAAATTGTTAATTGTAAGTACAGAATGTGTTAACTGGAGATACATAATTTTTTTATCAGAATTCATAATGCAATATGAAATCATTCCATATTATTCTTCCAAAAAGTTGAACCTCAATCCTAGGGAACCATCCCATATTATAACAATTGGGTAAGATGACCGAATACAAGATCGAGCCGAGGGACCACAGAATTAGGCAAAACATTTAATTCGGAGACGTTTGGATGATGGACTCTTTCCTCAATATTACATTTGCCTGGCCTGAACAACTAAGGGAGCAATAGGTCACTTTCTTTTACTATTTTTGTCGAGACAAACAAAATAAGTTACAACAAATATTAGGTTGTTTAGATATGAATTAGCACACTATGACACACTAATATAGTAATATACCTAATGTACTTGGTTTATAGATGCTGGATGCATATATTGTTATGGATCCACTATATACTTATATTTATATACAATACAATTAACAAGAATGTATAATATGATTTTAGAGAAGTATGAATGTTTTAGAAATATTTGAATGTAAAAACGAGTTGCATTGTGAATCGTGATTCAAAAATTTTGTACTTTCAGTTAAAACATTCTATACATATAGTTAACAGTTTTTGTATATGTAAACAAATAACTTGATAATTGTTGACACATAATATGATAACTACAAGTACAGAATGTGTCAACTATAGATACAGAATCTGACTTGATAATTGTTGACACATAATATGATAGCTACAGGTATAAAAACTATCAAGTGCAGATACAGAATGTGTCAACTATAGATACAAAATTTGAATATTTTTTTTGGATCAGAATCTATAGTGCAAGGTAGACCCTGGTCCATAGTATAATTTGTCGCCCAAAAATATGCAATTTTCAGAATTTACTAGGTTTGTACATTTAATACTAACAATTTGCACATTTAGTATTAAAAGACTGCACTTGCAAAAATGCGAAAGTACATTACACTTAGGGTTTTGATTTTAGAGTTTATGACTGCGTTTTTGGTTTTATTTGGTTTAGTGGTTCCCTTTTTATTGCTTAGCATCTAGCATTTGCGATTTAGATTTCAAATTTAACTTTTTCATTGATTTTATAAAATTTGCAATGTTTGCATATTTAGTTGTTAAAGATTGCATATTTAAGTGTTGAGTTAATATCCAGTTTGGTCCTCCGACTATTAGCTAATACTTGATTTAGTCCCAAAGTATTAAAAGTACCCAGTTTAGTCCTATTACTTTTAAAACGGTACCCAATGTAATCTTCCGTTACAATTGTCATTTATCTACCGTTATTTTGAAAGGCATAAGCGTCATTTTAGTGGAGATTTCTTCATCTTCATCAAAACGTGAAGACAGAAACCAGCAGCCCCTTAGCCTCTTCTCCCTCACCAAAAACAAACAAGAACAACCCCCATATTCTTCAACCTTCTCGCCCTCCTTCCTCTTAGTCTCTCCCTTCCTTTCGCTCGACGTAGCCAGAGGCAACAGCAGATTGACGAGCAGGCAACAAGGGCGTTTTCCGGCGGCTTTCTAGTGTAGCAGACCTCTCCTCCGACGAGCTTCGGCATAGCAGGTGATGGTTCGGCAGCTGAGCAGCGGCGAGCAACAAGATGCGACCCCCTAATGTGCATTTAGCACACATAAAATACGAGCTCTGTGAACATTAAGAAAGTAGTCTCCTCAATAATTTTTAGTGTTCTGTAAATCACTTTGAAAGGGCGGGTTTGCATATTTGTCAAAAACATGTAAACTAATATAGAAATAATAACACCAAATTCTATGTTGGACAACAAAGTGCACAGTTGCATAGTTGCACAAATCTAAGCGATTGATTTCAAGTATTCAATGACCCAAATCTGTCCACACAAACTCATATAACAGGGTGGACACACGGAATATATATATATATATATATATATATATATATATATATATATATATATATATATACCTCAACCAACACGAATTATCGTTCATACTTGTTAGTATTATTATTATTAGTCTTATGTTATATTATTTAATTGTAACAGTATTGACTTAGTACTTCCTATATGTTAGGAGTAGTTACAGGTTAGTTCTGATATACTATTGTAACTTCTCTTACGTTTTCAGTTGAATGAATTAATCCTTCTAATCTGGTATCAGACTTTGGTATCGATCCTCTCCACCACATATTACCCCCTCTCACCTTTTTTTTCTCTCTCCGGCCATGGCATCCGAATCCTCTGAGCGCACAGTCTCCGCAGGTACACCATCTCCGACTGCTTCCAATCCTCTGGCAGGGGCACACCACTATGTGTCCATGAAATTAACAACCCGGAACTTTTTGTTTTGGAGGACACAGCTGAATCTCTGAATTATTACTATTATTACTTTGTTCTAATCATACTATTATAGAATCTCTGAATTATTGAGGCAATTTGCATTGATGAGCAAAGATTCTGCTAGAAATTCTGTTTTCTTTTTTGCACAATAAAAAGAATTTTACAAGAATTACGTCGACCACTATTTATTTCTACAAAAAGAAACCACACTTTTATATAGAAGTAGAATAATAAAATTCGAATTTGAACCTAACACTTTCATCGTGAATTTCTACCGTGGACCATGGTCCAAAAAGCTTTGTGGACAATGATCTAAAAACGGCGCCGAAGTAAAGAAACAGTTGTCGTTACATCTTAACAGAGCCCGTATTTTATGTGTGTTCATAACAAAAAGAAACTACAGTGTATCTAAAATGGAACAGTCTCACATATTATATTGTTTTTTATCAAATGAAACTGTAATTGAATTGAAATGATACTTTAGTTGTGTTAAAATGAAACTGCAATATGTATAAAATGAAACTGAATAATATGTCACACATATTGAGTGCATATTGTCAAATAGAAATATAGTTGAATATAAATGATATTATAGTTGTGTTGTAATGAAACTACAGTGTATATAAAATAAAACTAAATAATAATTTCACATATTCGAGTGTATATTGTCCAATGAAACTGTAATTATATCGATAATGTAGTTGTGTTGTAATGAAACTGAATAACAGTTTCATATATTTGAGTGTATAATGTCGAATGAAATTGTATTTATATCGAAATGAAACTGCACTGCATATAAAATGAAATTGCACTGCATATAAAATAAAACTGAATCTACTTTACGCATAACGTTGCGGACGGGGCAGAACGGATAGCGTTTCTTTTCATTAAAAGAAACGGTACCGTTTTGGACTATGGTCCACAATGTTTTGTGGGCAATGGTCCACGGTATAATTTGCCGAATTGATGTGTTTAGGCCCCCCACCCCCACTCCATCCGCAGCCGAAGGCCTATATATAAGACTCCAATGATGAGCTAAATTTCTCACAACTAAAAATCCCTACTCTCTTTGTTTTAAGATGGGCCTAAAAGGCAAGTTACTTCGCCAGATAGAGATCAGTTTTCATGGAGATGTTTTTCATGAAATCTATAGAGACAGACCACATCATGTGCCTTCCATGTGCCCAATTGTTGTTGGAGTTGAAGGCCAGTGGGGAACTGTGGGCTCTATTATCATCTGGAAATTTACCCATGGTAATTAAGTAATTAACCCAACTCCAGATTTCTCCTCCCTTTTCTTTTCTTTTACTCAGTCGATCAATTATATTATTATTATTATACTTCCTTTGGACTAGATTAATTTAATTTATTTGTTTATGCATCAATATGAAACTTGCCAGTTCATTAACTTAGTCTACTATATATTATGATTGTAATATTGTTTGATATATAGATGGGGAAACCAAGACTGCCTCGGAAGTTATTGAGTCCATAGATGATGAGAAGAAAATGATGAAATTCAGAGTGATTGGAGGTGACGACGTCTTAGAATACTATAAGAGCTTCATTATAACATATCAAGTTGATACAAATAGTGATGGCAATTTTGTGAGTTGGAGTATCGAATATGAAAAACTGAAAGAAGAGATTCCTGAGCCACTCACCTATCTGGAACTTCTCCTTAACATAACCAAAGATATAGACAATCACCATGCGAAGCTGCTGAACCCATGAAAATTGGGGTAAGGAAATAATAATAAGAATGATAATAATAATTGTTATTAATGAAAATAATAATAATCTATAAACCTAATAATAAGAGCCAAAAAAGTTGAACTCCCTAACAGAAACTAAAAAAATGTTTGGTGTAATTGTTTATTAAAATGAATGGTTCATATTATTTTGATTTTAATATTTTTTATTATTTTTTTTTATATTTTACCCTCTATTATAACATTTACTTTTCCTAAATACTCATGCATTCCATCCGTGTAAACTTTATTAACCGAATAATCCATTAACTATTTATTATTGTTAACTTAATCATTGATTTTTATAAGGAAAGTCTTAGGTTCGAACCCCATCCCAATCAAAATTGATATAATTGTTAAACATAACTATGAATATGTTAGAGTGTATGAAAAAAAAATACAAAATAAAATTTAACATTAACTTTGGTCAATTAATTAGAATCATGTATTGGACATTGATGAAACGGTACACCTAATTTACAGTATATATTCAACACAAATGAGAAACTATGTCTATTATCATTGACCTGTTTGGTAAATGACTGTTAGCAGATAGCTGTTAGCTGATTGTATTAATTAGAAGGTATAACTAGTTGATATCATTAGCTGATGGTAGAAAAGTGTTTAGTAAATTAACTGTTAGCTGATAGTTGTTTGGTCTAATTTCTTTTCTGAAAAAGCTAATTGAAAAAGTTGCTTGGAGTAACTTTTCAAATTTTAGCAATTTGGAGTTGCAAAAAGCTAATTAACCAAACACTTGTATTGATATTTTAACTAAATCAAAAATTTAATAGTGGTCAAATAAGATTGGATCCTGTGAGACCACCATATGTAGGTGAGATCGTGATATTCGATCTTGAGCATCAATTTCTATATTTTAATGGTTTAGATTTATAGTTTATTTTATTGGTAAATGGCTAGTAAGGAATATAATAAAGGGTAGTGAGGTAATTTTATAGTCTCTTTAATTGTATTCCCATTTTGCAAATAAGTCACAATTGTGTTTTCGTTATGCGTTACGTCTCTGGGGCGATTCAAAAGAGGTATCTTCGCGCATTATTCTCGATGAACAAGCAGAATACGAGTCGTCGCCAAGCTTCGTGAAATCCTTCCCTCCGGTGGCCGTAGTACCCGAATCTCCATGGATGTCTCCTCCGTCAGGCGGTATAAGCGTCGAAGGAGTACTTTTTCAGTTGTTGTTCAAGGTATTTTCCTACTAATTTGTTGATCTATTCTTACTTTCTTAGGGTTTTTGCATGGCCGGACGATGGGTTTGGTGTGGCGGGTAGGGCTTGTTTCCGACCTCCTCCAATGCACAATACATCCTTAGTACTTACGTAGGTAAATTGAGAAAAATTTCATGCCGAGTTGTTTGCACACGCCGTAACACCCCGATGCACACACCTATGCTACCCTTTAGCCAGTATTAAAAAAAAAAAAAAACAACCACAAATGAAACACAAATACAGGATCACACCGTATAACAGTTTCATGCCAAAGCCGCATTATAATAACTCGCATACGTTGTTGCACATATACGCACACACCACCGTACATTACCACTCAGGCGCATAAAAAAAAAAAAAACAATGAATAGTGCACTAACAATTTTTATTTTTTTAAAAAAACAAAAACAAAAAGTTAACAAAAATTCACGCACACACATAATATTAACTTAAATTCACGCACACACATAATATTAACAAAAATTCACACACACGCAAATCAAATCCCAAACTGAACTTGAAAAGGCTTGATTCAGGCCTGAGCTCGTGTGCGCCGGTACTTGCGGGCACGAATGAAGTTGGCTAGCCTTGCGGGCTAAGTTATGCTAACTTCTGAGCTACTGGGGAAGAAACCTACACAGCGAGCCACGGTGCTTGAAAGGCCGAAAGTACCATGGCAGGCCTTGCTGGGGCCCGGCCTTGGGCCTCGGCCGAAAGTAACACAGCTGGGACAGCTTCTGTTTCAGGGGTTACAATCTGATTTTTATATCAGTTTAAATGCCCAAATAAATGTTATTGATATCCTTCATCCCTATATAGGAGTGTAATGGGAGCAGCAGCTTTACTACAAACAAGAGACACAACACACAATAGTTTTACTCTCTCAAAACTCTGCTTCTACTCTGATCTGCTCTTGCCGATTGTGTTCTGCTCGTGCTCTAGTTCGCCAGGTTCGTTCGTTTGGGTGCTCAAACGTCGAACCGTAGTACGTTTTATCCTGAGAAAACTAGGCCACAACGCTATTAGCACTCTTGGGAGGTGGCAAATAAGGTTTTAAGGAAAAAGGGCACTTCGCCTGACTCGTACTTACCATCTTTCTTCCTCTCCTTCCTTTTGGTTTTGGAATTATGCTCTAAGCATCGAATCCTTTCTCCTTTCTTGTTGATTGGAATTGTAATCTGGAGAAAAAGTCTTGCACACCACCTGAGTATCTATTTTCATTCTTCCGTCCATTGACAATATATCCATCAATCTTGACTGCAAACACTCTTTTTCATTGTCATCTTTGTCACACAGGATAAAGTTCACATACGCTGTGACCATTTAAATGCTTCACACTTATGAGAAAAAGAACTCGCCAAAAGGAACGAGAGGAAAACAAACTCGTCACATGAACGAGAGAAAAAACATAGCAACACACAAAATTATAACGAAACTCAAAGGAAAATTAAAAGAGAAACAACACTGCACGACTTCTAGATCTCTAGATCTTTATTTTTTGGATTCACAAAACCAAGTCACCTCTTTACCTTTAGATCTGGATCTGAAGGTTTGATGACATGAAAGTGCGAAATCAGAGTAGACCAGTGGGGAGGACAACGAACTGCACTGCCGAATCTGGTGTGAAAGGCAACGCCGGCTCAAAGCTCCATCAGAGCTTTCAGCTTTGGCCAGAAGCCCACTGCAAACCACCGTAAGATCACCAAGTAAGGGAAGATTGGAGAATGGAAAAATAATTAAATTTATTCCACTTAAACCAAACATATGTAAAAATATTTTAAATATACAATTTAAAAATAACTCGAAATTAAATTTTTATAAATTTAATCTAAAAAAATAAATTTAAAAAAATAAAATGTCAATAAACAAGTTTTCTAAACAGAAAACGAAGAATGAAAAACAAAGAATGAAAACTGAAAAATTAAAAAAACATAAAATAAAGAAGAGTTTTAGGTTAGTAAACTAGTCCTAATTCCTGAATGTTTACCCTAATTTTCAACCTCTAGTTGTTGAAAATTCTGATTGACTAACAGTGATTTTATTTTATTTTATTTTTTGAAAAAAATTGCCATGTATATGCCCAAATCCTACAAAAATAATTGAATTTGTTTTAGACTCTAAATAAGTAAAATAACAACAAAGTAACATTAAATAAAATAAAATAAAAAAACCCTTTGCTTCTTTTGAAAATATCACTTCCTTCCTCCCCATACATAAAAGTAATAATTTTCAAATGAAAAAAAAAAAAAAAAAAAAAAAAAAAAAAAAAAAAAAAACCATAGGCAAGAACACGGCTTGGCCATCCGCAATCCATCTCAAATTTCTTTTCCATTCAAATAGAGTATACTTGTAAATTTGTTGTATTTTTTTTTAAAAGTGTATTTATAAATTTGTTAATTTGAGAAATTTTTTATTTTTATAAAATAAAGAACATCGGTGCTAGTAACTGTGTTTTTTTAATTAAAAAAAAAAAACAAAAAAACTCATTTCTTTTATCTAATATGTCTTTCCTTGCTCTCTCTTTCGAAGGACAATTCAACCTATGAACCAATATAATATAGTTTTGGTTCAACATGCAAGAACTCTCTAATGGCTAGTGCTTCAGCTTCCCATGGGGAGAACAAGCCATTCCACGGGTAACAGGTTGCTGCTAAGAAAGATCCTTCATCATTACGAAGGACCCAACCCAACCCCATCTTTCCAGACCTAGAGTCCAGCGCCTCATCAACGTTCAGCTTTGCCCAAAATGTGATATATTGCTCCAAGATTTGGATAATATTATAATGTCCTAGCGTCAATATTATAATGCTAACTAGTATTTGCTCTAACGTGTATATATAGTTTGTCTGCCCAAAAATAGTAAAGAAATTGTCCTATTTCACCCCCTTAACTTGTTCAGGCAAATGTAACATAGAGGCCCAACGCAAATAACTCAATTGGTCTGTCTATCAACGTTTAATTTTGCCAATCAATAATGGTGAAGATCTTTTGTATGTAAAAGTGTACATGTGACACATGGAATCACTTGAGCAACTCAAAATTTACATTTTTTATGGATTTTTGGGACAGATTTGTGGAGTTCAAGATATAGTCTGATAAAGTAAAAAAAAAAATGGATTATCAAAAAAAAAAAGAAAAGGGATAAGGCTCAAATAGACCCTCCAACTATATACCAAAATGCAATTAGACATTCGAACTAAAAAAACATTCAATTGAACACTGACACTTGTTAAAAATGTACAATTATCTAACTTCAACTATATAATAACATGTTACCTTCAAGTCACATGTCACACGAATACCACATAAGATACCACATAAATTATTATTTAATTTTTTTTAAAAAAAAGACTGTCATGACAGTCGTCCATGTCAAACTGGACGGCTCCATATTGTATTAATTAATCCAAGGCTGAAGCCCCATTCTTTTTGGTTATGGGTTGTTATAAACTTTCCAAATATTTTTTTCTTCTGATGTGGCCTAATTATGTGGGTACAATATAATAATTTTAAATATTTTAGCACGGTCCATAAAAGTAATCAAATAATTGAAATAAAATAAGAGGACTATGCATGGCAATGATTGATTGAGCTGAAGGGAGGCCTATATATAAGACTCCAATCATCAACATAGTTTCTCACAACTGAGAATCACTATATTACTCTCTTTGATATAAGATGGGTCTAAAAGGTAAGGTACTTGTCCAGGTAGAGATAAGCTTCCATGGAGACATTTATCATCAACTCTTTAGTGAGAGACCACATCACATCCCCTCCATGTGCAAAGGTATTATTGGTGTTGAAGGCCAATGGGGAACTGTGGGCTCTATCATCCACTGGAAATTTAGCCATGGTAACCCCTCAACTCTTCAACTGTTTTGTCTTCTCTTTTCAATCTTAGCTTTGAGAAATAGTCAATTATTATTATAGTTTCATATTTTACAAGAGTTTTAACATTCCTAGTGTCTATGTTAATGTTGTTATGTTATTTATAAAGATGTCTTGCACTTGCTTTAAGTCGAAAATGTTTTACTTCTTATACTCGATTACTATTTGGACTGGACTAAACTGACTCAATTAGAATTTAAACCGAATTTCGGTCAAGCTATAAATTTAAAAAGAAAAAAAAAAAAAAAGATAGATAGATTGACCTGGCCCCGACCCATAACCAAACAAATGAGCAAGCAGATCTGTCATATGCTTTTTTTTTTTTTTTTTTTTTTCAATTCTTTAATTTAGAGTTTTTACATTCATCAATTCATGTATATTTATTTTTATTATAATAAGTTATATAGCTTAAAAATTATTTATTTACATCTTTTATTATATTTATTGTTAATTTTTAAAGTTAATTAACAATATAAATTTTAATCTATAAATTTATTTTAATATAAATAAATTATAATATAAGTGCAAGTACACAAATTTTATTTATCAAAAGAAAAGTACACAAATTTTAAAAATTTAAAAATAATAAGCAATCTTTATTAAATTAATAATAAATAAATTATTTTATTTATAAGTGCATGTACACAAATTTACTGAAATGATATGTGGCACAGTTTAAAATATTCATAGCACATGCATATTAATTATAATGTATGACAGATGGGAAAAGCAAGACTGCAGAGGAAGTGATTGAGGCCATAGATGAGAAGGAGAAATTAGTGAAATTTAAAGTGATTGGAGGTGAAATCTTGGAAGATTATAAGAGTTTTATCATAATATGTCAAGTTCATACTAATGATGATAACCATTTGGTGACATGGACTATTGAGTATGAGAAGCTGAAAGAAGAGATTCCTGAGCCATTCTCTTATCTCGAATTTCTTCTTGATATTACCAAAGACATGGAGGATCACCATGCCAACTTGAAGCCATGAATATGAAATAATAATAATAATAATAATAATAATAATATTAATTATTATGTTAAATGGATGCTTTGTGATGTATCAGTGCTTCTATATTGAAAGTGTGTTACGTAAAATAAAGCAAGGAATTATTTCCTTGGAGTTTGCATAAAAGATCATAATGAGTTATTGTAGTATATTTAGTTATTCACCACGTACTTATTATCTTTGAGTGTAATTTGGGTAACATATGCTCCGTATATTAATATATAAGTAAATCTGTTACGTATAGTAAATGAGCTCTGAACAAATCATAATTCACAAGTAATGCACTAATGCATTATATTAAATTTCAATATTTTTATCTGTTGCTATTCTATATTTTTGTTTCTGTTTGCCTTCAAACTAATGTCTAATTGTTGCAAGAGTGTTCATAAGGAAAACCTTTTTTACTCTTAATGTTTTTTCTCCTAATATGACATATTTATTGGATGTCATGAATTGTCTGAATCCAATTAGATAGTCTCATATCAAGAGAAGAAGTAAGGAGAAAAAATGTGGAAGAGTGTATACTGTATAGCATTACACACTCTGTCTCTCTCTCTCTAAAATGACATTTTATTTTTAAAAAATGAGAGGTGTATTTAGTTTTAAAATTTAACTAATAATAGAAAAATTAAAGTATCAAATTCAACCCTAAGTCGAGTGAATAGTAAAATTGTGTTGACTAATTTAAAACATTTCAGGTTTCAAAAAAAAAAAAAAAAAAAAAAAACTTAAAAACATTTCAATGAGGTACTCTAAACCAATCATTATGCTGTGCATCCGTATGCACCATGCATGGTGCATACGGATGCCAAAACGACGTTGTTTTATTAAAAAATGCGTGTCTCCCCTTTAAAAAAAAAAAATTAGGTTCGATTCCCAGCAACAACATTATATTGTTCATTCATTCTGGAATTTTAGTTCATAGATTATGGAATTATAGTTCATTGATTATGGAATTATAGTTCATCGATTATGGAATTGTAGTTCATCGATATCGATTCTGAAATTTTAGTTTATAGATTATGGAATTTTAGTTCATTCATTCTGGAATTTTTAGTTCATAGATTAGATTATGGAATTATAGTTCATCGATTATGGAATTTTAGTTCATATGTTGTTGCTGGGAATCGAACTTGATTTTTTTTTTAAGGGGAGACGCGCGTTTTATTAAAACGACGTCGTTTTTGCATCCGTATGCACCATACAGCATAATTTGCCCTCTAAACCGGCAAAATAGTGCATTAGGTTGATTGGGCTATAGCACAGTCCACTTAACCCAACAACCTAATGCTACCAACCCAATAGAGTGCAATCGTTATGCTATGGATCCGTGTCCAGCATGCATGCTGGACACGGTAACGGTGCCGTTAGGCATCGTTCTCTTCCACTTTTTTTTTTTTTTTTTTTTTTAATTCAGACCACTTTATTATAGGAGTATATGTTCATAATTTTATCACTATATGTTCATAATTGTAAGTTCATAATGTTAGAGCTCTGTGTTCATAATTGCATAACTGTACATTCATAATTTCGTAACTGTGCATTCATAATTCAACAACTGTAAATTCATAATTTTCGAAACTCTATATTCACAATTTTAGAGCTCTATGTTCATAATTTTATCACTATATGTTCATAATTGTAAGTTCATAATGTCAGAGCTCTGTGTTCATAATTACATAACTTACATTCATAATTGCATAACTGTACATTCATAATTGTATAACTGTACATTCATAATTGTATAACTGTACATTCATAATGGCACAAACTGGAAGGCCACGTTTTCCCTTAAAACGATGTCGTTTACAAGACACGAGTCCACAGCATAATTTGCCAATAGAGTGCGGATGATGTAAAAGCTAGGTGGGAACATGCTCCACTTAAAATGTGATGACTAATCTGATTGATCCATTTTGGGTATAATATTGAGGGCTGCTAAAATAATAAGGGGAAAAGGGCAATATATATATATATATATATATATATATATATATATATATATATATATATATATATGAAAAAGTTCAAATACGACTATATCCTTAGGTGTGACGGAATTTTAGAATACACCAACAGTATTAACAATATGCACCAACACTTAACGGAAACATATCACAATGAAATGCAAAAAAAAAAAAAAAAAAAAAAAAAAAAAAAAAAAAACACAAAAAAAAAAACACAACAGACCCTAAAAATACACTATATAACTCACCACATTCCAATAGTGTATTTTCGAACACTGTATGGTGTTTTTACTCAAACCTAATGGTATGTTTTTGGTATGCGTACCTAATTTGTGTGTTTTTTTGTGGTGCATTTTCTTAAATGATGTATATTTGTTGAACTATTGGTGACGCTGCACCGCCGCACCTAAGGACATTACTGAACTTGAACCTTACTATATATATATATATATATATATATATATATATATATAGGGACGCACTCAGGTGCGAATAAGTGCCCAGGAAGGAAATGCGAATGAATCAGCGCGTGACACGTGGCCAGATCTAATAACTTAAAAAAAAACGCGGTGGCATTTTCGTAAATAATTGAACATCGAAGTGCAAGTAAAATCTCTTATAAGTGCACCTATTTTCACCTATAAGTGCATGTAATTTTGCCTTGTTAGCATTCACTTTCCGCAACCATTCATGCACCTGGGTGTGCTTATAACTATATGTGCAACTATTTATAACTATAGGTGCAACTACTTATAACTATATGTGCACCTACTTTCACCTATAAGTGCATGTAATTTTGTCTTGTTAACATTCATTGATCTGAGTTCAGCGGGTAGTAATACTCCTGAAAACCACTCGCAAACATTCATACACCTAGATGCAACTACTTATACCTATGTGTGCAACTACTTATAACTATAGGTGCAACTACTTAGAACTATAAGTGCAACTAAGTATTGATGCTCAGTGTAAATTTTTACTTGCACCTATAATACATTTTACATGCACTTGTAATACATTTTACTTGCACTTCGATGTTCAATTATTTACAAAAATGCCACCGCGTTTTTTAAAAAAATCAGTGTTTCTCATCCATTAGATCTGGACACGTGGACAAACAGAATTCATTCCTATTTCGCGTCTGGGCGAGCCGTTCGCACCCGAGTGCAACTATATATATATATATATATACACACGTCAAAAATTTATTGATCATTATTATTATTTTTATTTGAATACAATAACGTAACCTATAATTTCCCAACGGGTACGTACTATTGCTCCCCAAATATCTGTACTTTTGTTCCCCGTTTCTGCTTTTGCTTGGTGCCATACACTAATTTAAAAAAAAAAAAAAATTTATAGCCCGTAGAGAAAGTATAAAATAATAAAATAAATAAGGGTGTGTTTGGTTGGCAAATTTAGCACTATGGATATGCAAGTGATTGTTATTATTTGGTTGATTGGTATTTACAACACTACTATGAGTTTGGAATACCCTATTAATGGAAAAACTCATTCCCTTATTTTAAAAGGGTTTCATTCCATTATTCATCCTTAGTCTAATCATTCTCATTCGACCCTACTACCAAACATGTAAAATACTTCCACCAAAATCCATTACCACCAAATATTTGATAACCATTCCGATTCTGATTCCCATGTGCGAACCAAACACACCGTAAGATTGGTTTGAGCATGCATGCCTATATAAGACTTGAACGATCTGCTGAGTTTCTCATTATCACAACTAAGAATATTCAATTCATCACTTTGGTAGAATTGAAGATGGGGCTAAAAGGGAAGCTAATTGGGCAGGTAGAGATCAGTTTTCATGGAGATTTATATCATGATATCATTGGAGCAAGGCCGCATCATCTTCCCTCCATGACCTCAGGTGTTCATGCAGTTGATGGCCAGTGGGGAACTGTGGGCTATACCACCATCTTTAAATATACCCAAGGTACCCACCCCAAAACCCTCCTTTTATTATTATTATTTTTTGAGTTAATACCCAAAATCGTCTTCGACTATAGTGGTTTTTCTCAATTTTGTCCTAAACGACTTTGGTGACTTAATGTAGTCCCAGAGTTTTGTGTTTTTACTCAATTTCATCCCAGACTTTTGTATTTTTGCTCAATTTAGTCCCCCATTTGTTATTCCGTCCATTTGTTGTTAAATAAATAGACAATTCAGTAATTTTAATATTGGCATCTCTTTATTCATAGACATGTGAAGTGTGAAATCCCTCTTTTTTTACGAATTACTCCCAGAATCACTTCAAAAGCTGCGAATTTAAAATTTGATTCGTAGGTCTGAGAGTAACTCTGGGTGTAATTCGTGTAAGAAAGAGAGATTTCTCACTTTGCAGGTTGAAAGTAAAGAGAAGGCAATATTGATATTATTGAATTGTCCCTTTATTTAACACCAATTTGACGGAATAACAAACGGAGGACTAAATTGAGCGAAACACAAAAGTCTGGGACTATATTAGGTCACCAAAGTCGTTTAGGACGAAATTGAGAAAAACCACAATAGTCGAGGACAATTTTGGGTATTAATTCATTATTTTTTTTAAAAGGGAAAATAGCACTTTTTTCTCTTAAGTTATATACTTATAACACTTTTCTCCCCTGAATTATTCAAGTGGCCATTTTTTCCCCTGAAATATTAAATAGACATATTTACCCTTAAAATAAATATTTAGAATAAATATTTCATTTATTTTTATTTTCCAACAAATTATGACCACAATTTGGTCCAAACCAAACATACACTATAGCAACCAAACCGAAATATGCCAATTACAATTTTGAATCGAAACTTGATATTTAGAGTTTATTAAAATTGCGAACCAGAACGGCCGGTTCATGTTCCGAACTGAAAAAATAAAATAAAATTACATTTATTCTTGAATTTAGAGTATTTTAAAATAAAATATAAAATTTTAAAATAAAGACAGTTCAAAATTGCGAATCGGATTTGGAACCGTCGATTCACTGTTCAGGATCCAATTTTTTCGATTCATAATTTTAATAAACTGGAATTCAAATATTGGATTCTGAATCTGAATCATAACCAGAAACTTTTAATTCGATTACTATAGTGTCTGGTTCAGTTAGAACCGAACCGTGGTCATCCCTACGTATACGCACTAATTTATTAGAGAAAAAATAAATAAAATGTTTATTTTAAGGGTAGAAATGTCAATTTAATGTATCAGGGGAGAAAATCGTCACTTTTAGAATAATTGAGGGGGCTAATGTGCTTACATGAATAATTCAGAGGAGAAAAGTGCTATAAGTATATAACTTAGGGAGAAAAAGTGACATTTTCCTTTTTTTTTTAATATCAAAATGTTATTATGTGACAGTTTTTGTTAACACATGTATGTACATATATGCATATTGTAAGTAATTAATGTTTGATGTACAGATGGGAAAACCGAAATCGCGGAGAAAGTTATTGACGCCATTGATGATGAGAAGAAAATGGTAAAATACAGAGTGACAAAAGGTGATCCCTTGAAATCCTATAAGAGCTTCATCTTAACATGTCAAGTTGATAGCAATGGTGATGACCACTTTGTGAGTTGGACTATTGACTATGAGAAGCTGAAAGAGGAGATTCCAGAGCCACTCACCTATCTGGACTTTCTTCTTAAAATGACCAAAGAAATGGAGGATCACCATGCCAAGCTCAAGCCATGAATATGCAATGGAAGCTAAGCGTGATAATAATTAAATATTAAATAATGGATCGGAGGCTTTGTGATGTATCACTACTGCCTCTATATTCTAAGTGTGTTATGTAAAATAAAGTAAGAAATTCCAATTAAGTGTGTTATGTAAAATAAAGTAAGGAATTATATATTTCCTTGAAATTCATAAATAAAATAATGTGGTATTTAATTTATATTAGTTAATACTTCCTATTATCTTCATGTGTATTATGGATAATATTGGGTGGACGACAGGAGTTGGGAGATGGGAATCACACATTTGACACAAAATTCATGGGAAGTGAACACTGTAAAAGGGTGCATTGTCCTATTAGAGCATCTTCAATAGATTTGTTTTTTTTGAAATTTTTGAGGTGTCAGATAGGAGAGAGGAGGGAGAGAAAAATGGGTGAAAAAAAAAAAGCAAAAAAAAAAAAAAAACACTAACATAAATAAATAAATAAATAAAACAAACTATGCATGCGCTTACTGGCGCAATTGTTGCGCTCAACGCACAGACAGTTTGTTTCTTTTCTCTCTCTGACGGTAAAACTATTACTTTTACATGAATAAAATCCGCAGAGAATTGTTTTTGTTCTTTTTTTCTCTCTAACAGGCCTCACTAAAAATCATTTTATATGAGTAAAATCCACCTAAAAATCATGTTCCTTATTAATATAAAAATTGTAGCTCAGTTTTTTCTACTACAAAAATCTCTTAAAAATTACTAATGGGAATGCCTTGAACATCATCACCTTCGTACTTCAGACAAAGCACCCATCTTTCTCTCCTTCGTCGTCCAGTCATAACTTTGCGCTAGGGCACGTCACTTGGGTCTTGACCATTTGCCAAGTTCGGACTATAATATAGTACTCCGTATTATTTTGGATTAATTATCTTAATATGAAAAGGTGAAAATTATAGTTTTAATCCATTAGTTATACTTGAGTGAAAATTGTAGTTATATATATATTAGTCTTTCCTATGTGCGATGCATGAACAAAAACATATGCTCATATTTATATTTTTAAAAATAACTAACAAATTCCTACTAATTAAAATTCATATGAAATCAAATTTATTTATTATAATAAACCAATATATAATGTCTACAAATATTATTATCATTAAAGAATATAATAAAATATATGGTGGATGCATGTGCATGGTAACAATAATGGAAAATATAACGGAAGTTATAACGGTACGTTATTTTTTTCCAAAAAATAATATAGTACAACTCTAAAAGCATAATGTACAAAATGAATAGCATTAAAATTTAAAAACATGAACATAAATAAGGGATATAACTTTGATTGAGATTTATTATGTTTTTAGATAGATATATATATATATATATATATATATATATATATATATATATATATATATAAACACACAAACACACTAAACATAATTTTATCACCATTGTCCCATTCTACGTCGTGGATGATTTTTTTTTTTTTTTAAAAAAACTCATCCTGCTCCACAGTTTCATTTTTCAATTTTAGTTTAGTGGTTCAATCTGCTAGCCCTCAGTTTTGAGTTAGGGCCAACCTCAATCGTTATATCCTGCACCACGGCGCACATAGTATTGTGCGCCCCGCGCCTCCCAAAACAACGTCGTTTTGATAAGTTATGTAGGGAGTTGATGCGATTATGTACATTATGATATACAATTATGTACATTTTTTTATACAGTTATGTACATTTTTTAAATACAATTATGTACTTTTTTTTTATACAATTATGTACATCCGAAACAAGAAATTTATGTGTATTATGTTAAGAGTTTATGTGTATTATGTATTATGCTAAAATATGTGTATTATCTTTTTTTTTTTTAAAAGTATGTGTATTTTGTTATGCAATTATGTACATTTTAGTATACAATTATGTACATTTTTTAACATAAGATTTTTTTAAAAAGAAAATTAACAACCGACACAGTATAGTGAAACTTCAAAAAAAAAAAAAAAAAAAAAAAAAAAAAAAAAAAAAAGCGAAACGACATCGTTTAGCACCAGGGCGCACAATGCAATGCGCACCCTAGTGCACGATATGAATTGCCGGCCAACCTAACCCAATACACACACACACAAACAAACAAACAAAAAAGAAAAAAAAAGTAAAAAACCATATAGCCCAAATCTATAAGGTCAAAAGCCCTGTAGAGCTAGCCCAAAACCTAATCGGTTGGCCCAATTGACATCCTTATCTACAAGCCTCGGTCAATCGTTATGCAGTGGAACTGTGTACATAGTTCTATGTTCATAATTACTGAACTATATGTTCATAATATAAAGCTATATATTCATAAATTTTGAATTTCATATTCATAATTATTGAACTCTATATTCACAATTATAGAACTCTATGTTCATAATTACTAAACTATATATTCATAATTATAAAGTTATATATTCATAAATTTTGAACTTCATATTCACAATTATTGAACCTCTATATTCATAATTACAGAACTATATGTTCATAATTATGTTCACAACTCTATGTTCTTAATTATAGAACTATATGTTCATAATTTTTGAACTATATATTCATAATTATGAATCGTTTATCTTGCACAGCATATATAATTTGCCACTCAGTGTAGTCTCACTTCAAGGAAAAGATGTAATTAAGTTGACTGAGTTAGACACTTAAGAATCTAAAGGTGAGAGGGGGAGATGTATAAATGTTTGCTTTAGGAACTTAAAAGGCTAAATTGCACTTTCAAAACTAGAGAAAATCATACAAGGAATCAAATAGTTCAACCAATTACCAGTTGGGTCTATCAATGGGCTCAATCTTTGTCATGTTTGACAACGTTTTGGATATCACGACATGATAGCAACGTAACAACAATAGAAATCACTCTTAAACTATAGAAAATATACAAGTTGCTAGGATGTATGTATGTAGGCCAAAGTCAGAGACGAGAATATTGAATAATAAAACATTAACTTGCAAACTTTTATGCCTAATCATTGTGGTCTAAATTAATGTCCATGGAACTTGGAAGGCTAAAGATGCATAAAGATTTCATTGAGCTACAAGTTACTTGACAAAAATACCTATTGTTAAGAGTAAAAAATATTTTCCTATTTAAAAGTACACTGCTTTGTGATTATTATTATTTTTTTTAAATTTGGCTTTGTTAAACATCTAATGACATTATTATCCCCCTTATCACCTTATGTACTCCAACCTGGTCAGTTTATTTGGCTGAATATATGGTTATTATTGTAATTTCAATTCTTCAAATTTCAGAGTAAGTGCCGTTTGCTGGTGCTAGATGCTATATATACATATATATTTGCTTCAGTAGACGCCATAAGTTATGCATTGAAAGCCAAAATGGAGAGCCGTATGAAAGTGGCGCGCCACCTGGAGCCATGGCGGGACCTTACCGGCAAGGTGGTGATGGTCACCGGAGCCTCGTCGGGGCTGGGCCGAGAATTCAGCCTCGACTTGGCCAAAGCCGGCTGCAGAGTCATCGCCGCAGCACGCCGTGTGGACCGCCTGAAATCTCTCTGCGACGAGATCAATGGAGTCGGCTCCGGTGATTCCGGCACCATTCCGCAGCCCCGAGCGGTGGCTATTGTGCTCGATATCAGCGCTGACGGTTCCGCCGTCGAGGCGGCCGTTCAGAAGGCTTGGGCCGCGTTCGGACGTATCGACGCCTTGATTAATAATGCCGGTATTAGAGGTAGCCGGAACACCATAGTTTTTGTATAAATGGTTTCTTTAACTAACCTGCTGAAACACAAAGAACCAATAATGGAGAAGCTCGAATTCACAATCTTCCAAATAGAAGTCCAACCCGGGTACCATTAGACCATATAATCTTAGTCGTTAAATATCTATTTAGTAAGCGTTAAATTTAAAAGTAAGAATGTGAAAATTAATTTGTTACTTAGAATTTTAGATGGAGAAATTGAGTTCATAAATTTCATATACTAAGTTCATTATTAGTATGAATGTGAAGAATAGCTTGAGTCATGGGTCACTTATCTACCTCAAATTTCACGTGGTTATATCATTTGTTCCAACACCTTTATTAATATGTAAATTTGGATAAGTTGTTAATTAATTTTTACATTTTTACCCTTAAATTTAAGGCATATTAAACTAACACAAATTAATAGTTGAGGAACGGGTCAAATCAAAAGTCGATGATAAAAATTGATAAATATCAATAGTGAAAAGAAAATGTTGTGTACTTTCATTTTCTACTCCTAACTTTTACTCCTAGACACAGAATTGATATAGTCACTTGTATTGAGACTTAAAAAACTAGCTTATCAGAGCTCGCCACATGCCATGTCAGGAAGAGTAAATTGAGAAAGTAACATCTAGGAGTACTTGTAATAGAACTCATAGTAAGAGTTATTTTATTTACTAGAGATAGTGTAGGGGTTTGAACCCAAGATTCGCAGGTAGCAGGCAGACTTCATTGGATCTGACAGAGGAGGAATGGAATGAGACCATAAGAACAAACCTAACCGGAACATGGTTGGTCACAAAATATGTGTGCTTGCTCATGCGCAATGCCAGTCTGGGAGGATCTGTCATCAACATCTCCTCCATTACTGGGCTCAATCGTGTGCAATTCATGGGGTCTCTTGCTTATTCTTGTTCAAAGAGTGCTGTCAATACATTCTCAATGGTATCATAGGATCCTGTTTTGTTTGTCAGATCCGATGATGTTTTGCTTCTTTCAATTCTCTACTTCAAGCATCATCAAATTAAAGGTTTATATGTTTGTGGTTCTGAAATGGTGGCAGGCGATGGCGCTTGAACTGGGAGCTTATGGAATAAGAGTGAATTCAATCTCGCCTGGAGTTTTCAAATCCGAGATAACCATGAATCTGGCGCAGAAACATTGGATCAAAAAAGTTGCTCATAGGACTGTGCCTTTAAGAACATATGGCACAACGGATCCAGCACTCACATCACTTATACGTTACTTAATCCACGACTCTTCCGAATATGTGTCTGGAAATATTTATGTTGTTGATGCTGGAACTACTTTGCCTGGTGTTCCCATTTTCTCTTCTCTCTAAAACAAATCCAAAAGCTCATGCATGTGCATACATAAACTAGTGATGGAGTACGTGAAAGTCATATAAAAGCAGGAATAACAATCAACATGCATGAAGGGGAAAAGTTCTCTCAATTATATATTTGGCAGCTTTGCAGTCCAAAATCTATATCTACCAACAAACCAATAAAGTTAGGCCCTACTTTTACCCTCTACTATAAAGTTAGAGCCTAAGGAAATATATTGATGTAATTGTTTGTTGGAATGAATGGTACATATTATTTTGATTTTAGTTTTTTTTTTCTTACTTTTACCCTCTACTATATCATCATTTCCTTTTTCGAAATACCCATGCATTTCATCATGATCAACTTTAGTAACGGGATATTTCGTTGACTATTTATTATTCTTAACTTACTAATTGATTTTCATAAAGAAGATCTTAGTTTCGAACCTCCTCTCAATCAAAATTGACATAATTGTTAAACATATATTATGAATACGTTAGAGTGTATTAGAAAAAAATACAATATAAAATTTAACATGAACATTTGTCAATTAATTAGAATCACGCATTGAACATTTATGAAATGGTACACTTAATTTACAGTATATATTCAACAGAGTTGAAAAACTATACCTATTATATCATTGTCTTATATATAGGGGAGGAGGATTTGATTATGTTTTTTAAGAGGCACTGTGCCAAAACACTTGTTAGTGTATGTACATTATGAGTATACGTACAGTACACATTAATCCTAAATGAAATTGGCAATTTATGTGGCAATTTAATGTTGTTTTTATTTATTAAAATCCTTGGACTATTTCTATAATTGGAGAAACTACAACTACGGACAAGATTATAGAGATCCAAGTTGGGCAAATTTTTTTAATCCAAAAAAATTAGATCCATTACTCAAATGAAAATAAGGAATAAGCCTGTTATGTCTCTGTTTCTTCACCATCTTCTTATTGATCATGAAGGTCTTGTACGACGGCATTTTCAGTTTCAGTATCCCTTTCTAAGGAAAAGAGTTAAAGCCTACTACTATAAAAGGAAAGCTCTTTCCTTATTTGGATAACGAATTAATGATTGCAAAATTGGAAGAAAGGGAATTCTGCTCAAATTCATCACTCTAATCTATTTTATTATACGGCACTTGTGGGATTAAATTGAGCTGCACAGATTGTACCTGAATAAGCTAAAGTTTAACTTGAAGAGTGTTGTGGCGTGCACGGTTCAGTCCTGAGTAGGTGTTAGAAAGGGTTGTGGTAGTAATGGCAGGAAGTCATTTGTACTTACCTTTGTATAACTCCTTGTGAACATCTATAGTGGATTGGACAGACGTGGGGTGCCCCGCAGACGTAGGAAAAGCGCTCCGAACTGCGTAACAATTCATTTGTGTTCTTATTTTATTTTATGCTTTCAGTTTATGTTATTTACATTTGATTATCTAATTAATGAACAGAATTATCGCATAACATAAAATCAAGTAGAACTCTAAGTTATAACTTGCATTCAAGATTCACGGTGTAATTTCAACACTAAAATTGCAGTGAAACACACCGGGGGCTGGATCAAATCAAGAATTCATTTCTAGCGGAAGTGGAAACAAGAGGAAGGATGGATTACGCCAATTAATCGGATTTTGTGTTTAACAAATTATAAAACACTAATTTAAACTATATGTTGGACATTAAACTATTCACATAATGAGCGTATAATAACTAGTTATCCTTAATATTTGCAATCTCTTTTAAGTTTTTATCTTCCCCTATGTTTGAGTTTAATGTTTCTAGTAAATCATTTTCCCTTGACTCCTATTTAAATCATACTATTGTGGGAGAATAACAATCAATTGATAAATTTGAAATTTTTTGGAGTGTTTTGTGATTAGAAGAACTTTAATTTGTCTATTTTTCATTGTTAAAGTTTTACATCAACTAGGGGTGTGCATTTCAGTTTTGGGTTTTTTTTTTTTTTTTTTTTTTCAGTTTGAAAAAAATAAAACCATTCAGTTTAATATTTTAGTTCAGCCTGACTTTGGTGATGTGCATTTCAGTTTTGGGTTTATTTTTTTCAGTTTCGAAAAAATGAAACCATTTAGTTTAAAATTTTAGTTCAGCCCGATTCAAGTCGAATTAAAAGAGTTTGATTTCGGGCTTGAATTTGGTTTGGTTCAGAATTCGATTCGGTTTGAGAATCTGAACATTTCATATTTCTCTAGCGCACATAATTAATTATTCATTTTTACTAATAATTTAAATTGCAAAAGCTAAACAAGTCAACAATACATATTTAAAAATCCAAGAATTACATAAGTTGAAATAACAAGATAGAAACCTAACTCAACGTTTGGCTCAAAGAATAAAAATAAATGGAATTGTTGGGCGGAGGCTGGTAAAGGTCAAGTTCAACACTCAACGTCTCGAAAATGTGATAGCTGTCTATAAGGAAATAAAGTTGCACATCCGCTATTAGTTATAACTTTTGGCATAAGTGGTAAGCACTTGATCCTAACAAGAAGATAAATTGTGAAATATTTCCCAGTGAAGTAGTGAGGTATGGACCAAGAGTTTACTACACTAGTACACACAAGGAATCCTAATTCAAACCTTATTACTACTCACCAAAAAAAAAAAAAATTCAAACCTTATTACTTACAGAAATTAATTACTCAACTAGCGGCTATATTTTCGTTTCTAGTATTTTATTCTATATTTAACAAAATTTAGACGCCAAATACCTTGTGGTTTGATGGCATCATTGTTACTTTCTATATTATAGTTAGGTTAGAGTGTACTCAAAAAATAAAATTAGACATTTTACTTTTAAATTTGACCAAATTTTGTCTTTTCATTTTTAAACATTTCACCTATGTACAAGTGACGGTATTTTGGACTGGTGTTGGTTGATTTGTATAGTAAAAACTACATTTTTTTTAATTTTATTAAATTAATAGTTAAAGCTAAAAGTAAAAATGTCATTATAATTGTAAGTGTTTAGCATATAATGTATAAAATATAAATATACAGTCTAATTATTAATTTAAACTTTTAATTGAGATAAAACAGTTCATTCAAGGGTTAGATTAAAAGTGATAACAACAAAAAAGTGATTAATTTTTATTTTTGGTGTGATACAAATATCTCTATATCTACTAGAATAATCATATCATCCCAAGAAGGCAAGAAATAAACGCCTCACTCACATGGGTATTTTATAGTTGGTGGATGTACATTTTTTTATTTTCTTTTGAAGAAAGTGTCAAATTTAATTTGCCCCAAACTCAACTAAATAATGTCAAAGGATTTTCACAAAAACAATAAATAAATAAAATAAATTCCAATTAAGTGACTAATCCTTTTTTTCTTTTTAAATCTATTACAAGGTAGTATTTGTAGTACACTTTCTCTATCTGTTACATATTTAATAAATTATCGTTCAATTGACATTAACTAAGTTTTCTCACATACTTCTTTTGATGAATTGATAGATGAACTGAACCAATTTATTTGAAAAGAGTAATTAAAAAATTAAAAGCTATGGAGTATGGACAGACAATCAATTACTCCGATCCGTATCTCCGTTCAAAATTAGCACGAAGAAGGCTAGTTTGATTCCAACTTTCCTTCTTACGTATTGGGGCAGCCAACTTTTCCATGATGGTCTTTATATCATAACAGAAGTAAGCAGCCAACTTTGTCTTGTTGTTGGATAGGTACCCCTTCGTGTCATATCAAATGAAGGTTTGCATGATTGCGTACTCAACAAAGCGGCCTATACCCAACTTTATCTTGTTGTCGGATGAAGACAATTAATTATCTCTGTCCAATGACTGACATGATTGTCTTTCTAATAGAACTCAATTTTGTCTTGTTGTCGAACAAAGACAATTGACTGTCTCTGTCCAACGACTCCCTTCATATCATATCAAATGAAGGTGAGCATGATATATTGCCTTTGTATTAGAACTCAACAAAGCGTCCTATGACCAACTTTATCAATTGTCTCTCTTCAATGACTGATATGACTGTCTTTCTAATATAACTCAATTTTGTCTTATTGTTGGACGAAGACAATTGACTATCTCCGTCCAATAACCCCCTTCATATCACATCAAATGAAAGTGAGAGGCCTATGACCAACTTTATTTTGTTGCCGGACAAAGACAATTGGCTGTCTCCGTCCAATGACCGACATGACTATCTTTCTAATAGAACTCAATTTTGCTTGTCGGACGAAAACACTTGGTTGTCTCCATCCAATGATTGGCATGAATATCTTCCTAATAGAACTCAATTTTGCTTGTCGGACGAAAACAATTGGTTGCCTCCATCCAATGATTGTGACATGACTAGAACTCAATTTTGTTCAAATGTATTTACGAGTTTTGTCCAAATTTGTGTTGTGTATTTATGAGTTTTGTCCAAATTTGTGTTGTGCAAGAGAGGGCTTCTATGCCACAGTTCAAACTCTTCAAAAGAACGACTTGTATATTTACTAGTGCAAATCTACATGCATCTCTTTTTCAATGTGGCATAAATGCTATTTATAAACACTTCCCAACTCCATTTTTTCCAACTCAAATTGATACATTTTGAGAATCAATTTGTCATTCTCTATTATCAAACTTGTGCGTAAATATATCAAATTAAACCTCTTACTAACTAAATGTATTCTGACTCGATCCAAATCAGAAATTGTCGTCATTGAAATTATACTACAAAATAGTTATTTTAAATCTTAAGCCAATTTTTCTCATAATATCTGGTATGTAATTATATATTAAGTTTTAATTTTTTATATTTTTTTTGGTGTAAACCACGATGTGGTCCGAGTCTTTCTCTGTCCGTCTAATGGCCCAGGTCCACTCGGTAGCTGACCCAAAGGGAATCATCACTTGTAGAAATTGAACCCGGGTTATCCCATAATTCTCCCCCACAAAGAGAGCTCATTTGCCACTTGAGCTACCCTGTTGGGTTATATTAAGTTTTAATTGATATGAGTTGGAGTACGCATTTTGCTCCGGTACTTCACAATATTTGAGTGCACTCAATCCTTTGGTTAAGAAAACTCAAAATTATGGGGGCCCTTATTAGGGTTGGGGATTCAGCCTTTTGGGATAAGAAAACTTAAAATTATTTCGCTTGTATCATATATTCGTATTCCACAAGATACATTAGCATCCGGAGAATCAGCCAAAAACTACTATCTAAGAGCAGCCTCATTAAAGCATTCCAAATAGGGGTTTAAGCAATGATTTTTGCAGCAGTAAAAATTTAAGCAGTGATTTTTCACTATTGGAAGGGGTTGGTTTTTTTGGATTGGGTCCTCCTACAAAGCATGATTTTTGAAAAAAAAAAAAAAAAAAAAAAAAAAAGACAGTGAGACGTTCAATTGCGTCTCACTGCCTAACCTAACACAATTGTGTTACACGCGCCTGTTGGGGCGTTTTAGAGCGGTCGTCGGCGGGCGGTCACTCTGAAATGAAGTTTGTTTTTTGTTTTTTGTTTTTTTTTTTTTTTTGTTTTTTTTTTCTATGCTGGCCATAACAGCCAGCTTCTTTTTATTTTATTAGTTTTTCTTGTTAAATTTTTAAATTTTGAACAAAAATTTATGCAATATAAATGTAGTATATAATTTTGATACCATTTTATTAGAATTGAAAATTTATAAGTATAAATTTATTTTAATTTGACATGTTTAATTTAAATATAATAAAAAATAATAATTGTAATTATAATGATAATAAATAAAGAAATAATTAAAATATAGTGGAGTAAAATGTTGGGCCTACAAAAAACTGAGAAAAAAACTAAAACTAAGAGCATTCATATCAGTTGTGGTTTTTTCTCCCATTCTTTTGTGTGCCCCAAAATCCATCTCATCATCTACTATCTCATTCAATCACAAAAATTATTGTCCGCATTAGTTTGAGGTTTTTTTCCCAATTTTTATGGACTCGCCATTTCACTATCCTATATTTTAATTATTTCATTATTTATTTGATTTATAAATTTATAATTGTAATAAAAATAATAAAACATACATACTGGAAATGTAAATAAACACACGTATTGAAATTGTAAAATAATAATAAAAAATTGGCTACAAATTTTAATTTATAATTTTAATAAAAATAATTAAAATAAACATACATAACATGTTTAAATTAAAAATTAAAAAAATAAAAACAAAAAATTTTAATAAAATTAAATTAATTAAAAAAACAAAACAAAACAAGAAGTTGGCCGTTGCAAACTGCAACAGCCAGCATGTTTTTTTTTTTTAAAGGGAAAAAAAAAAGAACATAAAGCCTTCAAACTGAAAGTGGTCGCCAGCTGGTGGGTGCGTGCATTACACTTGCCTGTCGGGTGGCCGGTGAGACATAATTACGGCTCAAAAACCAAGCATTTACAGTGATAAAATTCACCAAAAAAATACATACCACATCAGTAAAAAAAATCATCCCATTATTTTTGCACTGTTTCAAAAACCTCCAAAAATGCATTGCTATGGATGCTTTAATGGGAAGAAATATTTTTGTGATTGAGTGTGATATATAGTGGATGATAAGGTGGATGCGGGGGCCCACAAAAAATTGAGGGGAAAATCTCAACTATTGAGGATGCTTTAGTGATGCTTTTTCTTCAAGTTTTTTATGGGCCCCAACATCCTCCTCATCATCCACTATCTCATTCAATCTCAAAAATTCCCCTATTAATTATAGGGTTTTCTCAATTTTTGGTAGACATACCAATTTACTCCATTATATTTTAATTATTTCTTTATTTATCATCATTATAAAATTAAAATTATAATTACAATTATTATTTTTATTATATTTAAATTAAACATACCATAATTAAAATGAATTTATAATTATAAAATTTCAATTCAAATAATATGATATATAAATTATATACTACATTTATATTGCATAAATTTTTAAAAATTTAACCATAAAATTAAATTTAAGAAATTGTTAAAAAAAAAAAAAAAAAAAACATGACGGAACTATTTCAGAGTGGGAAACACGCGTCCGCTAGGACGCGCAGTGCGCTCAAAACGTGTTCCCCTCCCTTTTTGTTTCTCTTACAAAAATCATGTTTTTGCCTGAGAAAAATCAAGTTCCCATTTGTAAAAAATCAACTCATTAATTTTTTTTTTCTTTGCAAAAACCAACATAAAATCCCTAATAGGGCTAATTAAGATATGTTTGTACGACGACCCCAGGTGTCCCCCTTCCTTTTGATCCAAAAAAAAAAAAAAAAAAAAAAAAAAGATATGTTTGTACGATGGGATCTTTCTTCTATATTAGGGCAAGCACACCAATGCATTTTTCTTAGTTTTTAGAATGGTAAAAATTTGAGCACTTGCTTTTTAACTGATGCGAGAATTGGTTTTTAACAACTCTTTTCTCCTGTAAAAATTTGTTTTTGTGGGAGAAGAAAAAAACAGTGACTTGTGCACCCCAGCTGGCGCGTGTTCCACACTCGATCGTCAGCTGGGCGCGTCAAAGTGACCGCCAGCTCTTTTAACCCTTGAATCCTCTTTTCTTTTTTTTCTTTTTTTTTTCTTTAAATGTCAAAAATGTTTTTTTTTTCCTCTCCTATTTTTATATCTATCCTACATGACAATCTAAAAAATTGTGCAAAAACCCAACTAAGGAAGAAATAGGAGTGATACATACACGTTAGACCATAATACTGGTGAGCAACTGAGCATTATGGTAATGACACTATGACACGCTAATATATAAATATCCAATTCATAGTGTCATAATAAGTTGTTTTAATTTTACTTCTGCACGTACATATTAGTATATACATACAAAAAATTTTTAATGTTGCAGGCTATAATATTAGTTGTTTTGAAAAATTATATCTTATGCTTTGTTGAAAGTACACAGGAGAGAATGCAACTTAATTACAAATAATAATATAAAGTAAAATAATAAAGTACAAAATATTATAACTCACTTCATTGTAAACTTTTTTTAGTATACATACAATTAGTTTATTGTTACACGTTCATCATGACTTACTACTTACTATGTTGTGTTAGATTAGTCGGTAATTCCTTGTGACATTTAATTTATTGTTACACATTCACAGTTTCTTGTGAGTAAAATCCTGTCGCTGCCTCTCCTCCCTACAAATAAAAGAAAGTGTAAAAGATCATGTTGTGTTGGTTTAATTTACCTAATGCATATGCAATCCATTTGGATAGTGGCTGTGAGGATTTGTTGAGAACAAATCATAGTCGTCCACGTGTCCATTATTATTATTATTATTATTATTATTATTATTATTATTATTATTATTATTATTATATAAGGGTATCTATGTCTTTTAAAAAACTTATTCCATTTCTATTTCTTTAAACCAAAGACTAGAATATAATTCCTAAAGTCTATTCAGCGATCAAAACAATAGAATATAATTCATGTTTTATTCCTTACATATTCTATTCCCTATGGAATAGCATTCATATTCCATCAAAATTCATTTCGTGAACCAAACGTGTTGTCAAAGAAAATGTAATACTTAAGAAACAATGTACGGAGTAATACTTTTAAATCAATGTAAAAGTATTATATTTTTTTTTCCAAAAGTAATACATTTTCCCATATAAGTAATAAACATTTTATTCCTTATTAGTATTATATTTTTCAGTATAAATATTACATTTTCATATTGACCCAACCCGTCTCACAGACAATGATCCGCAAAACAGTCTTACACAAGTTTTTGCCTACCTATATACCGGCAAATTATGCTGTGCATCCGTATGCACCAAGCATGGTGCATACGGATGCAAAAACGACGTCGTTTTTATAAAACGCGCGTCTCCTTTTAAAAAAAAAAAATTAGGTTCGAAACTATAATTCCATAATCGATGAACTATAATTCCATAATCGATGAACTATAATTCCATAATTGATGAACTATAATTCCATAATCTAATCTATGAACTAAAATTTTCAGAATGAATGAACTAAAATTCCAGAATCTATGAACTAAAATTTCAGAATCGATGAACTATAATTCCAGAATCGATGAACTATAGTTCCATAATCGATGAACTATAATTCCATAATCCATGAACTAAAATTCCATAATGAATGAACAAAATAATGTTGTTACTAGGAATCGAACCTGAATTTTTTTTTTAAAGGGGAGACGCGCGTTTTTAATAAAACGACGTCGTTTTTGCATCTGTATGCACCATGCATGGTGCATACAGATGCACAGCATAACTATTCCTATATACCTATTTTATGAAAACAATACATTATAAATATGAATTTATTCTCCAAAATAAATATCAAGAATATTTCTAGGTGGCTCTACTAAATCTCCCTTTGTGAATAGCATCAATTTTTCTATTTATGAAACATATGAAACTAAACTGCCCAAACACAAAGTATGGAAACAATCAAAGGGCCTAAAACAATACCTGACACATTTTTGAAACTCAATGACCCAACAGAATTGGGCTTCAAACTTGGATCTTATTAATTCAACGGACTGTTTTATTTATTTATTTTTCAGCTAAAATAATCTGTCCGTATTTCTAATTTTCTACTTTGCTAGAGCAAATTATACCATGGACTAGTGTCCATCTTACATCGTGGGTCTGGTTCAAAATGACATTCAGATTATATGTTTGTAGTTAACATATTATGTGTCTACTTACAAAAATTACACCTAAGCAGCAATGAATAGGCGTTAGGTGCCGCCCGGCCGCCTAGCGTATCACCGTAATAGGTAGTCTAGGCAGTCGACTGGGCCGCCTAGGCAATCGTTTAGCTATTGTTCCCTTTTTTATTTTTAAATGGGTTATTTTATTCAAAACAACGTCGTTTTGAACGAAATAACTCTAAATTGTTTAAGCCCTAGATGTTTTTAGGTTAATATTTAATATTTTAGTATTAACTATTAAAGTATTAATAGTTTATAATTATCAAGTCTTAAAAAAAAAATTAAAATTT